CACTATAAAGGGTAAGAGAAATGCTGCAATGTCCAAAAATTTTAATATGCATTGTGTTCCCTCCAGGCCTACAAAGTTCATATCTGGCAAAAGCAAAAACAACAGCAAGAAATTCCAATAGTTGTTCTTCAACTTACTTGATTCCCAAATCAATATGCTCCTGAATACCAAAGCCAAAACAGCCAGTATCACTGAAGTTCCTTCTCAGAAGTTCATATTCCTTCACCTTCAAACCACTCTCCAAAAGTTGCATTGCCTTGTCACCTCTGACAGTCACATAGCACGCAATCTTCTCATTTCTTCTAATCCCAAAGGAACGAACAGTGTACCTTGCTGTCAAAACCAAGTGGAGAAAAAAACATTTTGTACAAATCAACAATGAAAAACAGCCACAAATATCACAATAGCCATTATTATACACAAATAAAAAAGCAAATACTATTTAAAATAGCTTAAATAAAGCAAGAGGCTATTCTTTCTGTCTTTTGGACTTGAAAACAAGGTTTAAATTAAATTGAGCAGAACAAAGCCATATACTCAAAGGATATCCAATCATCATCTCCAGTTTTCCCTAGACCTCCTACCCAAGTTTCTGAAGAAAAATTGTTAATTTAACACTTTCATTATGCCCACTACTGTGGTTTTAACCACAAAACAGGTTCAAACTTAACTAGTATTATCAACAAAAATTCCAAAACTCAAACTACCATTATCACCCTATTTTTAAAAAAAAAAATCCCATTACAAACCCTAACAAACATAGACTACCCTACACATGATTTTTTTTTGTCTTTTTCCAAAAACCTCTTCAATAGCAATCTATATTAAAAACACGATACAACCCCAAAAATGATAAATAAAAAAAAAAATTAATTAAAAAAACAAACACATTTGAGATCCGTGCCCATTCCCGGCATTACTTGAGAACTAACCTTTGGAAAAGACTGGGGTTTGGCCACTAAGTTGTTCCAACACCTGCAAAACCGCAAAAAAAAAAATTCAAAAATTTTAAAAAAATGATTTTTTTTTAAAAAAAAAGTGGAAGCAATGAGGAGTGAAGGAAACCTTGGCGGCTCTGGTGAGACGATCTCCACTCTCACCAACGGAGATATTGAGGACGAGCTTCTGCACCTTTATCTCCCTCATTGGGTTCGACAGTTTCTTCTCCGAAGCCTCAAGTTCAAATTCACAACATAACCCAAAATTAAATAAATCAAAATGCGAAGATTACTCGAGTTCGTGCAAGAGTGAATTTGATTTGGAAAGAGGAAAATCGCTTACCATTGGATTTGGAGCGTGTCACTGTTAGGTTGCAGCGTTGCGGCGGCGAAGTGAAGCGAAAGAGTTAATACTTTATGATATAAAAACCCCAAAGAAAGAAGCTAGAGAAGCTGGTGACTATAAAGGAGACCGAAACGACGACGTTTCACCCTGCGCTTTTTTCTAGTTCTACACGCTCGTTTTGGGTCAGTTTGGACCCGCTGGAATGGCCCAACCAATTTGTTACCTTTAACTCACACAGGTTTATATAAATATATAGTAATTGGTTTAAATATAGTTTTTATATAAAATATTAACTTCATAATATTTTAGCATATTATATATCAGTATAAATATATTATCAATATTTTATGGCTAGCATATGTGATATTAATATTATTACATAGTTCAAATTTAATGTTTATAAGTCGATAAAATTCTCAAAAATGTTTTCTATCATTAGATATTGTGTGGTATATTACCTTTTCTTTTGTAGAGTTATTATTATTTATTTTTTTTGTAGAGTGGTATATTACCTTTTAAATTAATGTTTTAACTTAATATAATAAATTGATTAAAAAAAGGATAATGATAGTAAAATAAAAAAGTAAAATGTTAATCGACGAGTTTAGACGGACAAGTCATTTAACTAGAAGGAAAAAAGATGCTCTAGCAAAATTTTGGTGTGAGCTGAATTATATATGTCGATGTAAATTTTTACAATATCAACACTTACGTCGCAAATAAAAATTAGGTTAAATTATTATTTTTTTATTTTTTATTCTAATTTTTAAATTTATTTTGACCCTTTATTTTTTTATATTTGAATTAATTTGATATTTTTTAAAATAATGATTATTTTTAATTTTGTGAAATAATTTTAAATCAATTTTTAACTAATTCAAGCTATAAAACATATAATATTATATCCATTCATTTGAAAATCATGAAATACAATTATCGTTAGAATTTGAAGGTTATAAACATATTGAAAATTATGCAAAAATATATATTATGAATAACTAAATAATAGTATGAAATTAACTTTTTAGAAATTTTTTATTTTTATCATGTATATAACACTTTTGGATTAAACTTTAATTGCATTCAATAATTTTCACATAAAGTAAATATAATGAAATGAGTTTAATCAATCAAAAAAGAATTCAAAATAGCTAAACTAACTTAAATTTAAGAGATAAAGAACCAAAATAAACATTTTAAAAGATAAAAGATTAAAATAAATATAAAAAAATAAGATAAATTACCAAACATAAAATTTAACCTAAAAATCAACTTAAAATCTTAAAACTAAATGTGGTCATGGATTTAAGTTCTAAATACAAATTTTTTACAATTAATTTATATTACTTATTTATATGTATATATAAAGAAGATTTTTTCATCTTGGTGTAGGCATTATTTTGACAATTTTAATTCTTTATAAAACTTGCATGAAACTCATAATAATAATTAATAAAGGATAAAAAAAAATTTGTATAATTTTTATTCTTGAAACTATTAATTGCACACTACCTCCACCAATATTCGTGTGTATTCAAAGGAAGATTTCAAGGCTTTTAGTCAAGGTAATGTATATATAGCTGAACTCTCGACCATTAAGCACTCTCGACCATTAAGCATGGTATTGAATTAGCTTGGAACTTAGATTATTGTAAAGTGGTGTGTAAATCTAATTGTCTAGAAGTTGTGGATGCAATCACTCATTTTACTTTGGCCTCCATGGCTTCCCCTTCCATGCGAGATCTCTTGATAGATATTTGCCTTCTTCTTTCTAGGACGTAGCAAATTCGGCTGCACTATTACATGCAAACCATTTGGCAACTTTTGGAAGTCACAATGTGACACATGAATTTATTGTGTCACCACCATTTGTTATGGAGGCCTTCTTGCACGACTCGCTGGCATGAACTAGTTGTTATTCTTTATGTTTTTGTTTTCTACTATTTTGTAATTCCTTATTCTACCAAAATAAAAAGGAAGATTTCATATAGACATGAATTTTTTTTTACTAATTATTAATAAAGGGATTCTTCTTTTTGTGTATGGATTGGACCATTTTTATTCTTTTTTATTAATTAACCAACTTTATTTTCTTAACTTTCCTTTTCCTTCTCATTATTTTTTATTTAAATAAAATATATATAAGCACAAACTATCTTTTTCTCACTAATATTCATAAGAAAAAATTTTGTTTGACGAGTGATGGTGCTTATTTCAAAGAGGAAAGTTGCCTAAAATGATACTCAATACTTCTTAAGAAAAAAGTAAATAATATGACGTCATATTATTAGGTTATTTGGGTGACTCTATCTCACTCATCTCATTTTGATAGTATTACTCTGTTTTTATGACAGCTTTGATAGTATTACGCTTTTTCTACGTAATTAAGTTTTAAACTTTTTTTTGGTAAATGTACATAATCCATATTTATAAGTTTAGAGCGCATCTTATGCATGACTTGACTAAACTTGTATTTCTAATCAATGTTTGCATGCTGGTATGGTCAGGTGTGTGTGGTGAACTTGTACTACACTGAAAAATTATTGGATATGTAACAAATTGGTTTCCAATCTGTCTCATTTCCATTATCACTCATAACTCGAGTTCTGCGTTCTGCCTATCATATTTCATATGTGTACATTAGTAATAAATCTTCCTTCCCAACTGTAGCAAATTCTTATGTGTACATTAGTAAGTCATACTTTCCAATTGAAAAGCTTCTTCCATGGCCCTCAAAATTGACAAAAGCTCTCCATTAATCAGGTTGCTAGGTTCCAAATTGGCAATGTCATTGTTGTTGAAGGATGCAGGGTTCCCCCTCTCTCTCTCACAAACCACAAACCTACAAACTGGGCACTGCCCTTTGCTTGTTAGCCATGGTACTATGCAATCCTCATGAAACATGTGGTTGCATCGAGTGAGCATCACCTCTTCATTGGGCTCAAAATCTTCCAAGCAAATAGCACACCTCTTACCATCTTCATCCTTTTCTCTCTCCTTTTCTTTCAAAGGTTTTGCACCATTGTTTCTATAGTATAAGCTCACCCTCCTAGCATACCTCTTTGGGGGAGGGTCATAGACTACTTTCTTAAGCTTGCTCAAAGCTGTTGATTTGGGAATTTCTGCCACTGGGGGAGCTTGTGTGCTTGGTTGGAATGTGGATCTTTGAGGTGTCTGAAGGAGAATCTCTCTGAGCCTTCCCATATTCTCATTGTGAACATTAATTTGTTGTCTCCTAGATGGTGGTGCTGGAAAACTGCAAATTGCTCAAAAATTGGTTAATCAGCATCAGCTAGACTTCTTCACCCTTTTAGCCTAAAGCTTACAAATTTATGCAACTAAATAGCATATCAAGGGGTAGGGTGGGGTGGGGTTAGGGAAAGGTTGCTTTAATATGGAATTCAAATCATATGGTCATGTGTGGTTACATATTTGCATCTTCAAGCTTCAATTAATTGATCTCGCGAACACAGTACTCACATGTTTAACAATTTTTTCTCTCATTCTGTTGTGTAAATTACAAGAAAGTCTCAGTTGAATCAAAAGTAAAGAAGTTGTTACTTTTCTTTTAATGTTGTTTTGAAAAGTTAAGTTAAATTCAACTTAACTTTCTAATTCTAATCCAAACATATACACGGTATTCATTGTTTGCCCTGCTAGAAAAATCAATTTCACTACTACCAAAAATTTAGGAAGTACATGATTGTTAATTCATTTACCGGTTGAAAACAAATTATGAAATCTGAATTTGTTGGAAATACTTTTGACTAGATTTCTTTCTCCTCAAGGGTCACATCAAATGTAATACTTTTAAGTTCTAAGAAATTTATAGCCATTGAAACATGCATCCATATGTCAATCATCTCAGCATTTTGATTATTCCTTGAATACATCTTCTCACATTGATTACGTACCATGTTGGGAAGTCTAAAACACATAAGCAAATTAGTTTGCAATTTGGCCTTACTTTGGTATACTGTGGAATCCTAAAGGAGTTCTGTAGTCCCAAAACCTTTGTTGAGCTAATCCACCTGAACTTCTGTCATCCTGCTAACATTATGAACCAAGATTATGTACAAGCTATGATCCTCAAACAATGATAGTTCCATTCTGTGCTTCCATACGAACATAAATTTAATTTGGCTTTCTTTTCTGTAATGTCTTAAAAATCTTGGTACTAAAACAATAATTGAATGAACTTACGGTGGCATGAGTAGAATGTGATCTGTAAAACACGGGCACCTCATTGGATTCACGATGATTGAAAGTGTGCCCATCATAGGCTCTAAAACCTCTTTGCCAAGGCCCTGGCAAAGGTGTGAAATTGTTCATGTTGCGGCTCATGATTTCGCCTTCCTCCTCAATTGATCAAGCAAAATACTTTGGTTTTCTGGGGTGCAAATATTGCTTCATATGTCAACTTTGGGAAATGGGAATTAATTGTTTTGTTCATTTGGGTGTGTAAGCAAGAATATATCTTTATTAGTAATGGTGTCACTTCTACTCTTACTTTGAGTTTCTTCATTTTTTATTTTGATTCAAAGCCTGATTCTCACTCCATGTTGAAGATGCTCTAGTAGCTGAGGCTCATAAATTGAGGAAAAGAAATCAAGAAAGAATCGTATTCTCGTGGATTTGTAGATGCTTTATTAAAATGATGTTTATTGGAAGTTTGGTGATGCTTTCCGAAAGGGCTCCTAGAAAAGGAATAAAATGAGAGGTGGAAAATTTAGAAGGGAATATAGTTGTATCACTGGTTTGGAATTTGTATTATATGCAGGACAATGAAGAATATATATCGATCATAAGAACTTGTTATGGATGGTTAAGATTACTTGATTCTTTAAGTAAACATGTAATTTTAAATGTTGACCATGGATATATAGTTATATAGCCTAAATTTATTGTTCACATTTTCACATAAAAGCATTATTCTCACAACAGTACATTTATATCATATAAATAAGAAAATAGTATATGCATCATAAAATTAAATTTCAATGTTCTTTTTATAATTAATATTAGTACTCGTCTCGTTTACTACACTTTCAAACTTTTAAGTTACGAAAGAAAATTTGACTAGATTTTTTTAATTATTTTTTTTTCATCTACAAGACTCAAAAATAATGCCCTATTTCATTAATGTGGAGTGTGGTTTTTGAGTCATAAGCTGCTCGGGTGCCACTTCTGCAAAAGTACAATTCCAATTTTTTAAGAGACATTCATAAGAGTGTTGACTAGCAACAACTTCTTAGATAGGACTAGGAAAAGTTAGGTTCACGTGAGAAGTCGAGCCAAATCAGACCATAATGGAAATGCAGTTTTGAACCCAATCAAATCTTTCCTTTTATAAAATCAAAGTTCGAACCAATTCTCCGATTTACTGAACCAGTTAACTGGTTTTGAATTGGTTCAGAACTGTTTCGGTTTTCCTGTGTGACCATTACAAAAGCTAGTTAAAAATGAAGTTCAAAAACTATTTTAAGAACTAGTTCAGCCTTTAACCAGTTCAGAGTCAAGTTTGTTTCATGCTTTAAAAACTGTTAGCACAAGTAATCTCCATTCCCACAAGTTTGTTTCATGCTTTAAAAACTGTTAGCACAAGTAATCTCCATTCCCATAAGTATTCTACTATCAAGAAAAGGCTAAGATGTTCATAATTATGTTAATAAAAGTATCAAAAATTAGGTATGTCACTTTATGTTTGTATATCATTTTATAATGTCTTTCATATTTTATTAATATATTTCTATAACTATAATTTTATATTTTTATAGCTACAAATCTTAAATATTTAAATTAATTTTTTCATTAAGGTCTCCCATTAAGGAGTTTTATAACTCTTCCACCTGCAATGACTCACTCCTTCTGTCTAGAATTTGACGAGAAAATCACTATTTTTATAATATAAAAATTGAACTACTATGTATTACATCAACATATTATGCTAAAATATATTTAAAATGATGTCATTCAACAGAAATGTTTATATGTTATTTTATATTATCTCTCTTATTTTAATGTATTTCTATAACTACAAATTTTATATCTTCATAATTACAAATTCTAAATATTTAAATTAATTTTTTCAATAAAGTCTTCCATCAAGGAGTTTCGTAGCTCCTTCACTTACACTGGTTCACCCCTTTTGTCATTATAGCCATATGCTCCGTTGAGGAAAAAATCATTATTTATAATATAATTATTTTATATTACGATAATACCTCATCCTAAAATATATCTAAAATATTGACATGTTTTAGGGTTTAGGGTTTAGAGTTTAAACATGTCAAGAAAAATGCTTACATTTCATTTTATAGTATCTCTCTTATTTTAATATATATCTTTATAATTACAAATCTTATATCTTTATAGTTACAAGTCCTAAATATTTAAATTAACTTTTTTTAATAAGGTCCCCCATCAAGGAGCTTCATAGCTCCTCCACTTGAAATGACCCACCTCTTTTATTGTTCCATAGCCATTATTCTCCATTGAAGAGAAAATCAATGGTCGCACCTTTGTCGCATACTTGTGACAATTGCACCCAATTCAATCAGCTTCTCTATTGAAGTGAAAACCATGACAGTCAGCTTCATCTTTGTGAATGTGCAATGGTCGCACTTCCATCACATATTCCATAGTCATCATTCTTTGTTGAAGTGAAAATCAATGGTTGCACCTTTATTCTAAACGTGCAACAACCACACCTAATTCAACCGACTTAAAAATCGTTGAAGCAAATGTACACACAATGACCACTCATTCAACATTTTGTGTTCTAGCATTGCTTATGACCATAAGTTTGTTAAAATATCAATTATTATTCTAGATTATTCCTTCATCATCACCTACAAATGGAAACAACTAAAAAGCTATAGTAAGCTTTAGAAATATCTAGAGACATTAATTGTGAAGAAATATCTAGAGCTTCTAGCAAGCTTCCATTGGGAGACTATATATAGGATGGAGATCATGCTTATGAGTGTAGTGGACAAGAAACACAATAAGTAGTGAGTGAGAGTGAGTGTATTTGTGAGAAGTGAGGAATATATATTGAGTGTGTGTGTGTCACCAAAATAAAATATAGTATTGTGAAGAGTGTGTAAGAAAGTGAGTGTGTTGTATTAGTATAAAATCACTAGAGGTGTTGGGCACCAATATTTTTGTATTTGCTCTTGTATATTATTAAAAATTAGTCTCCTATTTTTCAACATTTGGCATCAGAGCTGGTTCGGCCGGGACCAGGAACCAATTTGCTCGAGCTAGTACGTTGGCAGAAGTTGTGATTAAGGACTGTGTGAAGGAGATTCTGCAGGAATACAGTCTGGGACTGTAATAGTTGTTGATCATCAGGATCACAGTAAATTGGTTAAGTGCTGGGCGCTAACCAATCATCATGGCAGATCTCGCATCCTCAACTAGCTCACTAGAGAGGCTCAACAACAGCAATTATGACACGTGGAGCGTTCGGATGAAATATTATTTGCTCGGGCAAGATCTATGGAGCATTGTTCGTGGTGCGGAGACGACCCCACCAACTGATGAAGAAAATCTAAAGAAATGGAAGGTTCGATGTGGAAAAGCTTTGTACGTGTTGTCGATCTCCGTGGAGGATGAGTTCTTGCAGCGGATCAAGGATCTAACGACACCGAAGGAGGCATGGGATACATTAGAAACACTCTTCACAAAGAAGAATGATGCTAAGTTGCAGCTGCTAGAAAACGAGTTGATGTCACTGAGACAAGGTGACATGGCGGTAAGTCAGTATTTTACTAAGGTTAAATCAATTTGCAATGAGATTGCAAAATTAGATCCTCAGAATGCAATTTCTGAGACGAGGATGAGGAGAATAATAATTTTTGGATTAAATCCAAAATATAATGGGATTATTACCGCCATTAGAGGTTGGGCCACAAAACCCACCTTGATAGAGTTAGAAAGTATTTTGGCAAATCAAGAAGCTTTAGACAATCAAATGTCTAAAGTATCAATTAATGAGGAAGACAAGGCTCTTTTTAGTAAAAAGGGAGGCCGAAAGGAGGTTCAGGCAGCTGCAAATTCAGATAGCGAAAGTAAAGGCCCACAAAGAAGACAAGGTTGGCAAAAAGGTCAACATAAGAAGGGTCCAGAGCAAAGGGGAGGTACGCAATCCCGATTCAGAGACTACGAAGAACAAAAGAGACATCGGCGCAAGGACGGACTATGTTACAACTGTGGTAAAAAGGGCCACTATGCACGAGATTGCTGGGCCAGGAAAGAAGAAGGCAACGCAGTCACACTTAAGCAAGATGAGAACGAAGAAGAATAGAGGTCAACAATGTCTACCATGTACCCGGGATAAAGAAGAATTTATTATCAGTTTCACAATTGACAGCTTCTGGCAATTATGTGGTATTTGGGCCAAAAGATGTAGGAGTGTATCGAAGGTTCAAGCCTATATGTCCTACAATTATGAAAGGAAGGCGATTAGAGTCTGTCTATGTAATGTCAGCACAAGAGGCATACGTGAACAAGGCAAGGAAGAATGAGACAGCAGATCTATGGCACGCGAGACTTGGACACGTAAGCTATAATCGATTAAAAGCAATGATGAAACAGTCCATGCTAAGAGGCTTACCAAACTTGGAGATGCGAGAGAATGTCGTTTGCGTTGGATGTCAATATGGGAAAGCTCACGAGCTTCCATATGAAGAGTCAAAATATAAGGCTAAGGCACCATTGGAATTGGTGCACTCGGATGTGTTTGGACCGGTGAAACAGCTATCGATCAGCAAGAATAAATATATGATCACAATTATCGATGACTATTCCAGGTACGTGTGGGTAGACTTTATGAAGGAAAAATCTGAAGCACTAAAGAAGTTTATAGAGTTCAAAGAAAAGATTGAAAAAGAGGTTGGAAGTATGATACGGTGCTTGCGTACGGACAATGGGGGAGAATATACATCAAAGGAGTTCAACCAGTACTTACAAAAATGTGGCATAAGGAGGCAGTTGACATGCCCGAACACCCCACAACAAAACGGAATTGCGGAGAGAAAGAATAGGCACCTGGCCGAGACATGTTACACAGTAAAAATGTACCACCAAGATTCTGGGCAGAGTGCATGAAGACCGCTGCTTACGTCATCAACAGATTACCCCAGGCAAGAGCTAGGCTTCGTTTCACCATATGAGAAGTTATGGAACACAAAACCTTCGGTAAGTTACTTCCGAGTGTTTGGATGTGTGTGCTACGCTTTCGTGCAGGACAAGAACGTAGCAAGTTCGAGAAGAAAGCAATACGGTGCATATTTATTGGATATGACAGCCAACGAAAGGGATGGAGGTGTTGCAATCCGACGACCGGAAGGTGCTATGTATCCAGGAATGTGGTGTTTGATGAAGCATCATCGTGGTGGTCTTCACAAGCAATATCGCTACCAGATACAAAGGAAATTGAAGAGCAAGTGCAAAAGCAAAAGGAGGTGCAACACGAAGATAAAGAAATAGTAGATGATGTCGAATCTTTTCCTAGACAAATTAGAGCAAGATCTCCAGAGAA